CCTTCCAACCAGTGTACGTTGTATGGTGACATTTCGTAGAGAGGGGGGGGAAGCACTAGTTTAACAATGTTAATATGTAATTATCAATACCTGTAGTCTTCTGTCTAGTATACCCTGTATAGTGACATTTTTCTTAAATTAGGGGACAATTAGTAAGTTATTATAATATTAATGACGTAATTATAAATACTTGTAGCCTCCCATCCAGTGTTCACTATATGGTGACACACTTTCTAGAGTCAGGGTGGTGGTGGTGTTGGTGATATAAAATGTATATAAAAAGTGTTTCTAAGGACAAGGACGTATCCAAATTTTGAATCTCAATGAAAGATATATTCATTCATGATGACCAAAATTCCGAACCGAGTGACCTAATTTATATTGAAAACCATAAAGGACCAAAAATATTGAACGCCCCTCGCATTGTTCATTATCTTAATGTATATATTTTATTTGTATACAGGAGTACTCAATCAGTTTTGATTATCTAATTCTCTCAGATCAGTTGATAATATCGATGTGTTTAGTATAAAACAGTTGACAGTATATGTACAGACTGGAGATTGGGTGTGGGGTATAAGGAATTTATGAGATACCAATTTTAAATTCATAAAAAAAATATTGTCGTATTTAATTTTTAGATTAAAACTTAAACAAAATATTTTAAATTTATATAGGACTAGTAATTCCTTGATTTAACTTTCGGTTTGTATTATGAACTCCCTTACCTGTACTCTATTTCTGGCATTCAATGACTCATCAATGTTCTATCGACGTCTCAAAACATAGATCACATTACTTGTTAATCAAGATGATGTGATTTAATTTATGTCTCAATATCAAAATTACCTGATATGCTACCATTTCAATTAATTATTTAGATTTGAATAGAAATAAATAAAGTTATATTAATTATATAAAATCGGCGAACCAGAGTGTGCATTGTATTAAAAATTAGGTATTAATGTGCCTTGCAGTGCTTTGTTCATGGTCTGAAAATAATATTTTTTTAAAAGTTGCCTTGTATTGCATAAGTCTGGTGATTTAAAGAATGAGTGTAACATACCGGTGTTGTAGAGTAGGATTTCCCCCATAGTCAGCTTTCCCCCCGGAAATCGTACTTCAGTTCCCCCTCTTTTTTTCTCAGAGTAGGATTTACCCCCTCGTTATAATCAATATAAAGCACAGGCACAACATTTTTTGCAAAAAAGACCAAATTAACGACTGATTTTAAAAGGTAAATGATTGTTTATATACATATGTTGTAAGAATTTTCTAAGCATATATTTCAAATCATTGAAATCTCAACCAAAACATGCAGCTATCAAAAGAAATGTAAATATTCTCAAAATATGATGCTACACACAAAAAATGGATGTTTGGATTGTGTTAAATATTAAAATACATTCTTGAAAATGTACCTAAAAAACTTTAAAGCAAGAAATATGCATGATCATACATTTTATAATTTTTTAAAGAAACATGTTGAACTGAAAAGTTGCATAATTTAACTTTTCACCAAATTATTTCATTTTGGCTTGGTCATAAATAAGGTTGTTTCACTAATGAAATATCACTTCTATATTGAGAAAGGCATCTATTTCAGCCAACATTTTTGAATTTTAATCAGTAAAAGTTTGTTTGTGATATTTGCGGTAGCAATACTTGCCCCCTACCGGCAAGTGAAATCTAGTTTAAATATTCCGTAACACTTTACGATGCGAAACAAAGTGCAATCTAGAAAATCACTAACCCAAAAATTGGCTCAATATCTCCAAACGTGTAGAAAAACATTGACAAAAAATGGTAAAAATTGAAAGGTCGTAATTCCTTTAAAAAATGAAGCGAAACGAAACGCAAACTTGAACTTTAACTGATCAAGATGTACTCCTTTTCCAAAACTCAGCTCAATGTCTTCAACTGTGCAAGTAGTTAGAAAAAAGTGGGGAAGACCATTTGGGACACACAGACAGCTAGAGGAACAGCTAGACAGACTCACAGGTGGACGGAGGCAGAGGATATTTATAGTCCTCACCAGTTTCATTAATTCCTTTGATTTTTTTAAATGGTTGGACGGTATAGCAAAGAAAAATCAGATTGAAAATTTTCATGTTGATTTTTCGTTGACGTATGTTCAATAAATTTTTTCACCATTTTGAAGAAGGGATAAGTGTAACAATGTGTCAACCATTCCTCCTAAAAATATGTGGAGTAATTATATTTCATTGGGGGGATTGACTCGGGGGGAAATCGCACTCCATAACTACCACACTGAGTAGGGTCCCTCTCCCCAGAAAACTGACTCTGGTGTGGGATTTCAATAAGTGATATTCTACTCTAGAGCCAGTTTTCCGAAGGGCAAGATTTTAGGGGGGAAAGCCTTCCCTATAACAGGTCGGAGAGAATACTCGAAATATGGTATTATCCGTGAAATCGCGTATAATACTCAATATTAGGGTATCGTTGAATCCGCGAAATCGGGTATTCCGTGCAACTTTCTGTTACTGTTACTTGTACATCAGTATCTTGTGGGTTTATTTTTATTAAACCTTTTTCATACGGTTGTCAAATAAGTTTAAAATCACACGACAAACACTGCTGGGGTAACAAAGAGGACACAATGGCGTTATTATTTTTCAATATACCGGGGTAATTTCTAAAAACAAATAACTAGACTTCGTTTGTCTATTTTTCCCATTAAAGTATTCCATATACTTAATTTTCTAACTTGTGCACTATTCACAAAATGTGAAACTTTAAAGAAATTTAACGACTTACGCCGTGTTATGCATTTTTACTGAAAAATGTATGGCGTCCCTTTCAAATGAAATATAAATTATTCCTAACAGTTAGAGAGTACAGTATAAGCGAGTCATAATTGTATATCTCTGCCATAATAGAATACCAACGTTATTATAAAGAAGAAAATAAAATAAGATTAAATAAATACCCACGGGAAAACAGGTTGAAAATACTAATTGAAGGTGAGTATCTTTTTTATGTCAATTTAGCATGGAGATTTTTATTCAAAGACACCGTAAACTTTTAGGTTGCATTTTAATCGATACAATTTATGCTATTTTACCTTAATTTTATGCATTTGTGTAAAAATTGAGAGCGATAAGTCACGAACAGGATTTTCTTGTTTTTTTTTTAGAGGGGGGGGGAGTAAATAAAAGTCATATGTGTACATCTTTTCATGAGCTTATAATACATTGAATTTCTCAATACAGATCGAGGTACGGTCATATTGAAATATGAATCACATAGTCAAGTTTTCACATTTCATATAGTTTTTACGTTTATGAACATGTTAATGAACAAACTGAAATAATGGAGTGTTCAATTGCCTTGGAAACTCTTGTCTTACTTTTGGGAATATAATTCCTCAAATTAAAATTTCCTAAAAATTATAGCCACTTCCTTTCTTTATTATACTTTTTGATAGACAGGGTTAATTTTATCTCTTTACCTTCTATATTTTTTATATCGCTGTCTTATACCTCATTATAATATGCTAATACAACGCACTATCTGATTGGTTCTAGACAATATGTCACAGTTTTCTTTTAGTTATTTTATCTAATATGATACTTATTACTCATGGCAATAACTTTTCCTAATACTCATCTATAGTGAAAAAATGTTTTAAAAAATTAAACATGAATTCTAGTTACTTGTTGTCTCATATTGTGTTAGAAAATAACAGGTTGCTTTTTGTTTACCTATATGATTTTGAATAAATCTTCCCTACAATTAAAAATATATAAGTGAGTTTAACCGACCGTGACATTCATAGAGAGGTCTCTTGGACACAAGTAGAACACAGTCGAAGTTGTTTTGTCAGAGGTGGTCAAGAAGCCTTTAGCCCCCCCCCTTTTCTTTTTTGGAAGTCGCCAAGAAATGGTAAAATATTGATGACTTAGCGAGCGAAATTAAACGATCAACAGTTATGTTCTCTCCTCAGTTGTATTCCTGAAACTATCACTGCCTGTGCTAAAATGTCGAAGACATATTCTGCAAATATGTATGAATGATTAAAAAAAATTCAAAAAAGAGAAAGAGGTTTTTTTTTTAGCCGAAATTTGAGAAATTTTTAATCATTACATTATTAAATGAAATTTTTAAATTTGATTTTATACACCAGAATAAATTTGATTTTATGCACCAGATGAATGTGAAATTAATGACGCATAATTGGATACGATAGAAAACTCTTGTTTATACATGGCATCATATCTTGTGTGTGAAATGTGTTTCCGTATAATTTGATTTATTTATAAATTGTTCATGTTTGTCGTGTATGGCATGTCAAACGTTGCAATATTTGATAATCTTGTGATGTATATTCAAAATCTTGTGATGTATGTTCGAAATCTTGTGATGTATATTCAAAATCTTGTGATGTATATTCAAAATCTTGTGATGTATGTTCAAAATCTTGTGATGTATATTCGAAATCTTGTGATGTATATTCTATAATCTTGTGATGTATGTTCGAAATCTTGTGATGTATATTCAATATCTTGTGATGTATATTCTAAAACTTGTGATGTATATTCTATAATCTTGTGATGTATGTTCGAAATCTTGTGATGTATATTCTATAATCTTGTGATGTATATTCAATATCTTGTGATGTATGTTCAAAATCTTGTGATGTATATTCAATATCTTGTGATGTATATTCGAAATCTTGTGATGTATATTCTATAATCTTGTGATGTATGTTCGAAATCTTGTGATGTATATTCGAAATCTTGTGATGTATATTCGAAATCTTGTGATGTATATTCAATATCTTGTGATGTATGTTCAAAATCTTGTGATGTATATTCAATATCTTGTGATGTATATTCGAAATCTTGTGATGTATATTCTATAATCTTGTGATGTATGTTCGAAATCTTGTGATGTATATTCGAAATCTTGTGATATATGTTCGATAATCTTGTGATGTATATTCGAAATCTTGTGATGTATATTCAATATCTTGTGATGTATATTCGAAATCTTGTGATGTATATTCTATAATCTTGTGATGTATGTTCGAAATCTTGTGATGTATATTCGAAATCTTGTGATGTATGTTCGATAATCTTGTGATGTATATTCGAAATCTTGTGATGTGTGTTCTACAATTCAGTGATGCGTGCAATAAAATTGCATGACGCAACAGAAAAGTAAGGACAATTTTCATTGGTTAGAAATAACGAAAGTAGCTGAAGCGTCGGGAAAACCATGCAGGTGAGAAAAAACACAATCATCAGTTTGTTTATTGCAGCACTTATTACGAGATGCACGAGTGTTGTTCCTGGTGACATGATGGAGATATTTCGGCCTGCTAGGGAAAAAACTCAGTAAACGTAGATATATTGACAAAATTTGTAGGTACTTGTAACGATATGTCACGATGCTGCATTGTCAGATACAGTATTTATACATGCATGCTAAAAAGTTAAATCTCGTAGTAATCAATATAGCAGAAGAATAATGAGGAGTACATACTACAAAAACTGTGCAATTTGTAGCAAGATTAATTTTTGTTTAACAGCTGTTTTTATTACATTTTATTTCGTATTATTACTACCAAATACTGCTACCGTTTGTTAATGTTATGCACATGGTTATCTTGTACTTGCAAGTAAATGAAACATTTAAAAAAAAAATAATGAAAAAATAAGTCATTTAGGCTATTTGATAATAACATGCTAAATGAACAGGTTTTGCTTTTTAATTCTCCTTCACTCAGTCTTTGTATAATGTATATTTTTAGACGAGCTGATCGCCAACCAGGAGATCAGAATGATCGCATCTGCTCCTGCCACTTTAAGGATGGTAAGAAGGAGGGGGACTCTGCATATTTTGCATGGAATGAAGGAAAGGCCATGGATTTCTCTGATCCTGAATGTACAAAAAGGTGAAATTATTTTTCAAAGTATGACCGACATTTTGTTTTTGGATGGTGGGTGGGTGGAGTTTAATTGAGAATATTTTACTAAAAAACTTTAAAAGGGTACATGTATAAACAGAGTAGCTTACAACTGAATAAAAAAAATAATTCAAGTTTAATTATTTTACAAAGGAGGAAAAAACTCAAAAGTGAGGAGTCCCTGTCATCTTCACAGATGGACCAGTTGCAGATTCCACAAGCACCAAAATGTCAATATCAAGAAAAAGTAAAGCTCATTTAAAACACCAATGATGACAAATGACCAACACTGAAACATTTTCAATAATTTTTAATAATATATAAAGTTCTTTTAACTGTACATGATTTACAATATATTTTCAGTTGATATCAGAGCACAACTACTCAGTATCCTGCACATTTAACTGTACTCAAGAAATGCAGCGCCTCTCAACAGAAATACAACTGGAAAAGGAATTGCTTGCCCTAAAAATAGAGTCTAGTAAAAGGAAGCCAATATCAATCCACGATATTAAATACAACGAAGAGAAGGTACATTTAAAGGAATTCCAATTGTGATTTCCTATTTCCTAACAATTTCAGTTACTGTAATAAAAACTTGTTGCCATTGAGGGATGAACATCTTAGATTGACTGTTATGTTAACATATTTTGTTATTATTTGGGAGTGTTAGGTCTCTGATCAGCAGGGGCATTTTCTCTATATAAAAAGAAAATGGAGACTCCCTACCCACCCGATGTATTTTGTCGGACAGTTTTCTGTACATTGCAGGTAAATTTTTTATTTATTAACTTTCCAGCCTCTTATTGTATAGTACATTTTGGGGTTTGAAGTCAGTTTTTGCTTTTCTTTAATTTTTAAAAAAAATTATTTAAATTCTCCTTTTCTTAGAATAAAATTCAAAAAGTAGCTTCTGATTGTAAAGTATAAGACTACAGACATTGAACTTTGATTTGTTATCAAAAGGATTGATTTAAACTTGTCTAAATTAATTGTAAACAAAAATAAAAGGGGGCACCTGCTATTTCTTTAAGCGTTTTTCACTGGGGGGTGGGGAAACTTTTTTGTACATACTTGAGCAATAGGAGGGATTAGATAAGAATCAATTAGTATGTCAGAGTCTTAAATAATATCCTTTGCATAAGCATAAAAAAATTCTATATCAGTCTTTTTAAAACCTTTGAATTTTGCTTAATTAACTACGATTTATCCAATTTTGGAGCTTTTTACCTAATTCTGGGTAGAATCCACCCTTATGAAATTATTGACTCAATTTTGACTTAATATCACTTTATTAACATTAAAGCACAAAAACAATTCATTGTACAAATATTTTATTTCTTACAGTCACCAATATATCCAAATATCATCACCGGCCCAGACGTCATTCACTCCTTTGAATTGTGCTGGTAGCAGTAAGGTGTCATCATTTGAGATGGTCACAGTATCCAATACACTGAAGTCACAGGACTCAAATTTCATACATGTTCACAGGTAGGTGTATAGTCTTTGAAATTACCACAATTGACTAATTCTGGGACAGGTAAGTATGTAAGTATAGGAATGAGAGCACCAAATCCCCGGATGCACACATGGCTTTGTTTGTTATGGAACATTAAACCGAATACTGAATGGGGAGGCGTTACGCCATTGGCTGAAATCAGGTATTTAAGGTAGAATGCCACACCAATTTTTTATTTTATGGATCTATGAGTCATCCTTTCTAAACAATGGTTTCAGCATTGAAAGGCCGATATTAGCTCTTAATTATTTTATATGAATTTTTTTGTATTTTTTCAAAGAAAATGAAAAAAATTATTTACATCCAAATTAGATGCTTTCTTGTAAAAATTTTGCTGTAAATGAATGCATCACATGAATACCTAATAAAATATGAAAAGAAAGTCTGGTTAGACTTTTTGATTTTTTTTATAAAAAATTATTTATGAAAATAAAACACATTATTTGTAAATATTTTTTAAACTTATGGTTAAAAACACCATAAAACTAGTCACAACTAAGGACAACATGTTTGTAAATCATATTTTTATAAGAAATTGAAACGAAATTGAGAAATTTTAGAGAAATTAATTTTTTTAATATATGGACCTAACCCGATCAAAATTAAACTGATCCCGATCAAAAATAACACAAAATGAATAAAATGCTAATTTATTGCCTCTTCATGTATTTACAATGTATAAATCTGTTTTATTGTCAGGTTCTATAATGTTTTTACACTTATAACACCTAATCAGACTAGTGTTCTTTGGAAAATGTTATTTATTTCCAATAATTGTACAATTATGTTCGGGATCGGTTTAATTTTGATCGGGATTGGCCAAAATTAAAAAAATTAATTTCTCTAAAATTTGGCTACTTGGTTTCAATTTCTTTTTTAAATATGATTAATGAACATGTTCTCCCAAGTTGTGGCTGGTTTTAAGAAGATTTAAACCACAAGTTTAAAAAATATTCACAAATTATATGTTTTATTTTCATAAATATTTTTTTATAAAAAAAATTAAAAAGTCTAATCAGACTTTCTTTTCATATTTTATTAGGTATTCATGTGATGCATTCATTTACAGCAAAAAATTTACAAGGAAGCACCTAATTTGGATGTAATTACTTTTTTTCGTTTTCTTTGAAAAAATACAAAAAAATTCATATTAAATAATTAAAAGCTAATGTCGGCCTTTCAATGCTGAAACCATTGTTTAAAAATGTTGACTTTGAGATCTATAAAATAAAAAGTTGGTGTGGCATTCCTCCTTAATTGTTTTCATTTTAAAGTAAAATTAATGACCTTTGAAATAAATGATGGGATGAGGGAATATTACAGAAACTATAGAAATGCCAGGGAAGATTTTAGGAGTGGGGGTTGATTTTTTATGCCGCGTGTTCTTTACTGCGAATCTCTAAAAGTTGAAAATAACTGCAATTTTGACCTATAAACGCCATGGGACCATGTATTTTTTTCAGTATTTTTTGTTAGGGCTTAGAACAAAGTTTGAAATGATGCTAAAGATTTTTCTGAAATTGTCATAGTAAAGTACTGAGAGGGCCTAAGGTTTGTATGGAGTTCTATGGGAAAATAATTAGTGGTCTTTTCCCTATACAAGATGCTGTCTGATGGCGTAGTGTAGAATGTAGCGTAGAATGTTTTCCAAGTCAGCTTAAATGCAAAGGTTTGTTTTAAAATTTATCATAATGACTTGCAAAAATTTAATGCAGTTAAATTTATTGTATTCTTGAAAGATTGACTGTAACACAATTTTTTTACACAATTACAAATAATCAAATTAATTTTTTTCCAACTTTTTTTCAGGGTCTCTGCCAAAATCTTTTGAGGATTTTTCCTCTGCTAGAGCATCCATGGATGCAATTGAAACAATCCAGGACATCCCAACACATATGGATAATCAGGCCATGGCCTACAGTATGTACAAAAGTTGCCATACTTTTAAAGCAGTAACTTGCACGCTTCCAAATGGTGCACTTACATTTTGCTCCATGCTGTACCCAGGTTCTACTTCTGATGTAGCTATTGTACGTCACAGCCAAGTTTTACGAAAGTTCAAAGCTGGAGACCTTATTTTGGTGGTCAAAGGTTTCACCATTCATGACCAGTTGCCCCAGGGTGTCTGCTTAATTATAAAAGCTCTTTTATCGACACGAGGCCAGTTTACCATACAAGAAGCAGCACTGTGTTACAAGATTGCTAAAGCACTTATTCATGTGGAAAGAGCCAACGAGAGGATAAAGAATTACGAGATTCTCCGTCACATACCATCTACTTACAGACCAATCTCAACAAAAATATTTCAACTCTGTTCTTGTCTTGTAAACTTGCAAGCTCCACTTTTGAAAGAAATTACTTAAAGATACATGTACTTATTATAAATTTGCATTGGCGTGTGACAGTATACACTAAACAGTGAAGATATTCATACCAAAGTGCAAGGGATATGCAAATTTTGATTTGTTATCAATGTCAATGGTTATATTTGTTAACTTTGTAGTATGTTGTAATACATATACTTCAGAAAATGAAAATCCCTTTTGTTAGCATGGATTTATTACAAGAATGTTTGACAATTCCATTCTTCATTTGACAATATAATTTGGAAGAGGGTTTACTTATAATTTTAAATCTCTAGTTTAAAGTATATTTACCTTTAAAGCACAACTCAACAAATTCATGTTTTCAACAATTTATCTATTAAGAAAGACCAAAATGTTACATTTTCACTTTGAGAATAACATCTTCAATTCATTAATAAAATGATTCTAAATTTTGATATTCTTTTTTTATGTAGTACATAGATTTTATTAATCATCATTGCTATTTAAAATAGTCTTATAAGCCAGAAGTTTTATGATGGATTGTGACATATCATATCATACATTTATGAGACTTAGGAACATTCAACACATTTAACATGATTACCCATTTTCCATTGTTAGAAAATTCTAGAGGTACAAAACTAAGTGTCAAGAAGTTCAAACCAGAACTCAGTTTTCCATCAGTGCTGGAATGAAAATGTTAATGTAGAAATCTATCAGCTTTGGAACATATGCTGTCCATTCAATGTCTTTTACTATTCTAATCACAATGCAGTCTACTCTTGTCCACACAATTAAGTCGCAGAATGTTTTGTTACATATGTGTAGCTGGCCTTGAATTTGATGATAGTATGGGTGACTGGTTTTCAGGCACAGGGTATCTTGTTTAAGATCTAAAAAAAAATCAAAAAACACTTAAGTTGTGTTATACCAGTACATATCCCCTCCTTTTTCAATATCTTCATACCATAATGAACAGCTGCACTTGTAAATTAATACATGTTTTGAAATCATTTACTCACCAAGATTTTTAATTTCAAAGTACTGGACAATACAGATTTTTAATGTTATTTACCTATGAAAAATCCTTCAAATTTTGTGCCCCATCTGCTACTGTTGAAGACGATGCTGTATATGGACACTTCACCTCTACAATATTAGGAATGGCGTCTTTGGCTTCTGGAGTTTGATAAAATACACTGCATGTTGGTGGTCGAACAACTAAGCCATCAGGTGAAGCTCCCAACACTCCTTATTCATGCAACCATATCCTTTTCAGAAAAAATTATAATACTACTGAATGCAAACAAACCACAAGAGGCCCATGGGCCACATCGCTCACCTGAGTAACTTGGGTGATGAAGTTCTTTACCAGATTTCCCCTCTTGCTATACCTATCATGCCCCCCTACCCCCTCCCCTTTCATGATTTTAATACTTTAGAATCTACACTAGCAAGGATGCTTTCACATAAGTTTCAGCTTTCCTGGCCAAGTGGTTTTTGAGAAAAAGATTCTTAAAAGATTTTTCCTAATTTATCTATGTAAAACTTGAGATTCCCTATTGTGGCCCCGCCCTACCCCTTGGGGTTATGATTTTAACAATTAAATATCTACTCTACCCCAGGATGCTTACACATAAGTTTCAGCTTTCCTGGCCCAGTAGTTTTTGAGAAAAAAATTCTTAAAAGGTTTTTCCTAAATATATCTATGTAAGACTTGGATTCCCTATTGTGGCCCCGCCCTACCCCTGGGGGTCATGATTTTAATAATTTAATATCTACTCTACCCCAGGCTGCTTACACATAAATTTCAGCTTTCCTGGCCCAGTGGTTCTTGAGAAGAAGATTTTTAAAGATTTGTTCTATATATTTCTATGTAAAACTTGTATTCCCTATTGTGGCTCGCCCTACCCCCGGGGGTCATGATTTGAACAATTTAGAATCTACACTACCCCAAGGTGCTTCCACATCAGTTTCAGCTTTCCTGGCCCAGTGGTTCTTGAGAAGAAGATTTTTAAAGATTTGTTCTATACATTTCTATGTAAAACTTGAATTCCCTATTGTGGCCACGCCCAACCCCCGGGGTCCATGGTTTTAACAATTTAATATCTACACTAACCAAGGATGCTTCCACATAAGTTTCAGCTTTCCTGGCCCAGTGGTTCTTGAGAAGAAGATTTTTAAAGATTTGTTCTATACATTTCTATGTAAAACTTGAATTCCCTATTGTGGCCACGCCCTACCCCCGGGGTCATGATTTTAACAATTTAATATCTACACTACCCAAGGATGCTTCCACATAAGTTTCAGCTTTCCTGGCCCAGTGGTTCTTGAGAAGAAGATTTTTAAAGATTTGTTCTACACATTTCTATGTAAAACTTGAATTCCCTATTGTGGCCACGCCCAACCCCCGGGGGTCATGGTTTTAACAATTTAATATCTACACTACCCAAGGATGCTTCCACATAAGTTTCAGCTTTCCTGGCCCAGTGGTTCTTGAGAAGAAGATTTTTTAATGACCCCACCCAATTTTTGTCTTTTCTTGATTATCTCCCCTTGTAAGGGAACTTAGCCCTTCATTTTTACAATTTAAACTCCCCTTCCCCTAAG